TTCATGTTTGATGAGTGAGTACCTTTAAAGTCATAACAAGGTGAAAAACTTCTTTTAATTGTCATTCCTTGCAAACAGAAAATGTGTGAAGTGCTAATTGCCTTAGCTAGTATATCTCTCTTAGTCACAGTGGGATATTTTCTTTGAAGTTTAGACTACTGATCCACACAGGTACACTTCTGATAACCCTGCTTGCTTTACTGCTTTTATGACAAGGTTGTCCCAGATATAGAGAACATTATGTGAGATCTCAAATTCAGGTACTACCAGGACACATCAGCATTAGAGACTGATATGAGCAGTGAACATTTAAAGGGAAAATATAATGAGAGAGTGTAATGGAGACTACCGTTTCTGACCTACCTTTCCCAGAATGCTAGTTGCCTTTGCTGTCAAACTGATCCAATGGCTTCCAAAAACACGTATGCAAATTGGGAAATGTAGCTTCATTCTGACTTTCCAATCTGCATACTTGTTTTAGGTCAGTGGCCCAAAGTATTGAATCTAGAGACATGTAGGCAACTAGAATTCTTGGAAGGTTACCAATGGCAGCCCTCATATTTCTTTAAGTACAGTTTTTCTTTATTTTTCTTGAAAGTGGACCTTGTGTTAAAAAAGCAAGATCCGCTTATATAGTCAAAATGTTATAACAAAGAAAAAAACCTGTGGGGGGAAAAAGTTACTATACCCTTGGCTACCACCCGAGGCACCTAGGTGAGGGTGAAGTCATGATCCATCCAGCGAGTGTCTAGAGCAGTGGTTCTCAACCTGTGGGTCGTGACCCCTTTGGGGGTCGAACGACCCTTTCACAGGGGTCCTCTAAGACCATCAGAAAACACATATTTCCGATGTGTAAAGAGCAGCTACTGTGTAGAAAGCAGCTGCTGTGTTGAAAGCAGCTACTCTGTTAAAAGCAGCTACTGTGTTGAAAGCAGCAGTATTGGAGGTAAAACGACACTCATGAATTATAACTACTGGGTAAATAATTTTATGGTTGGGGGTCACCACAACATGAGGAACTGTATTCTAGGGTCACGGCATTAGGAAGGTTGAGAACCACTGGTCTAGAGAATACTGACTACTTCAAACCTATGATGCATCAGTGCAGTGCAGGAGCATCTTGTAGTGATATTTGGGGTACTCAACATTCTCCTGGGGTCTACGAGGAAGATGTTGTGGTCTTCTGCAGTGGCAAAACCAGGATTAAAGTTAGATCTCCCACAGGTTTATTTTATTTTCTTTAATGCAGCATTTCTGCAATGGGGAAAGTGGGAACTGAATAAATGAGTAGCTTTTGCTTTATAGTGCAAGGCTCACTTTAAGCTAGTGTCATGGCTTGTAAGGGCTAGTGTCAACAGTCTTTTGTTCACATAGGAACTGCTCTTCTCATCATACAAGTCTATGGGAATGCAAAAGCAGCCAAAAGCAGGAAAAATGCAGATCAGAGAGAAGTCAATTGTAGGTCAAAATCACCAGCAAATAATTTTTAATGGTCTTAAGCTGGCCATACATGGATTGAAATTCAGCCAGTTCAGCAGGGATCCATGTATAGGTAGACTGATTGTACCTAGGTCAAACCATCAATCAACTTGGGTACAACCAGTCTGTTGGATTGTCTGTATGCTATCACTCCTGGTGGCTATAGCAACTAGCAGTAATCATTGTATTCTGCTGGCCGGGAAGGTTCCTTGCTCCCCCCTCCCCCGCCTGCCGGCTGAATACGATAGCGCTGCAGGAGGGATTCCTCCATCAACACCAACTGTTTTGATGGGTGAATCAAGTGATTTTCTTTCCTTCCACCCATGGTTGAAGGAAAGAAAATTGATCAATTTATGGCTTGCTTTAGAAGAGTCCTGATTTGATGTCAAAAGCACACTGCCCCAAAAGTGCCTTAAGAGTGCACATAAACAGAAAAGACAGTCAGACATGCAGACTTGGCCAACAGTTTATTCAGTGTGAAATCAGAAATGATAAGACAAGGTTTTCTAACCTGTCCAACCTCCTGGTAACTGGCAACCATTTGTGTGAAACCAATGCTTTCTACGGCTGAGAAACTGTTCTCTCATTTCAGTATATACCTTTAGATACTGGGCAATGATTGGAATAGATCTAAATGACCAAAGAAATTTCGATGATAATGGATCCTTAGATTGACTAATCTTGAGGTTGAAGGTGAAGCCTGTAGACATAAAGTTATTCTGCAACTTGTATTTTAAATCCAGCACTATCCTTCTTTAATTATAACACCCCACCAAGTCACTTTAACAGTCCTTCCCCTGAAGTACATACATAAATAAATCAATCTTTAAGCAAACTTGATTACAATAAACCTAAATATTAGTGTTTAAAGTCCAAAATAAAAGTCCAAAATAAAAGTCCAAATAAAATCCCAAAAGGTTAATCTTTATCGGTACTTTCTCAATTCTTCGTGTATCTAAACCGCCTTTTGATATAATCCAAAACAGATCTTCATATACCTCAAAGAAAAAAACTAAACATAGTGTATTATCCCAAATATTATCATAAAAGTGCCACACGTGTTACATGCAAGCAAAACTACCGTGCCACAGCAACCGTGAAAAAAAAATATTCCTCTGCCTTAAATGTCAATCCACTGCACACAAATAACAGAAGTGCATAATTACCCTCAAGATAGCATCCGGATGTGACGAAACGCGTCTGGGGCACGTGACGTGGTGACGTAGTGACGCTCTTCCGGAAGTGCTGTGGCGGCCAACTTTGTTCCTGGAACATGTGGCTGTGTCTGTCCTGGAATCCTCTACACATGTTTATGGTTATTGGTGAACCTACCACCGATGATTTATTCCTCCTCCGGAGTGGTATGGTGAGGATACCTAAACACTACTGAGGAGAGGCACGATTGTGGAATCATTTTCTCTGTGTGGAAGCTGATCTCATCTTATTTTAATATAAGTTGCTATAATAAAGTGTTGTGATTATTTATGATATACACTGATCCCTGGTCTGTTTATGAGGTCTGAGGGAAGTGGCTGGAAAGGCTGATGGAAAAAAAGGTTGGAAATAATCTCATCTATACCTATGATACTATCTTGAGGGTAATTATGCACTTCTGTTATTTGTGTGCAGTGGATTGACATTTAAGGCAGAGGAATATTTTTTTTTTCACGGTTGCTGTGGCACGGTAGTTTTGCTTGCATGTAACACGTGTGGCACTTTTATGATAATATTTGGGATAATACACTATGTTTAGTTTTTTTCTTTGAGGTATATGAAGATCTGTTTTGGATTATATCAAAAAGGCGGTTTAGATACACGAAGAATTGAGAAAGTACCGATAAAGATTAACCTTTTGGGATTTTATTTGGACTTTTATTTTGGACTTTTATTTTGGGACTTTAAACACTAATATTTAGGTTTATTGTAATCAAGTTTGCTTAAAGATTGATTTATTCTGCAACTTGAACATAAAGTAACTGACTTGTTATGGTGACAGCCTTCTGTCTATGAGTACAGTAACCTTGTATCCTATATAGTATGCTAGTTAGCACTACGTAATCTCATACAGTATAAATATATAAAGATAAACACATGAAGCATTTAATAACTGGTATGGAGACTTTGGGATGCTGGGAAAATAAGTGAAAGAATGAAAAAATAAACAAATGAAACAATGTATGGTACAGCAGTGCACCCCATGAGATAAAGCAAAGGACAGTTGTAACTAACCGTGCCAACTCTTCCAGGTTATCCACTGGCCAGCAGATGTGAATGAACCCCTGACAACATATGACTGACAGAATATTCTTTGAAAAGTTATTCTGAGCTTTGAGTGCTGGCCTAATTGGTTATAGCTATGTTTTGTTTTTTTAATATAGACGTTTTTTTAAACCAATGTAATGCGTTACCCATTTTAAACACCATGTCAGTTTGACCACATTACATTATTTGGTGTATGAGAGTTTTATTCATACATTTGTAAACTTTTTAAGTTTATAATTTGGGCTTCCTTGTCCCATTCCATGGATGTGTGAACTACTAAACAGCTTAAAAACTACAGTATATAGGTTGTCAAGACTACATAGTGAATGCTCTTTGATTAGTCCACCAGATTATATACCTGAAACCAACCCTATTTTATGATCTTGAATTACAAAGTACTTAATCTCCATGCAGGTTAATACCACTTTAGTAGTTTTATTCATTTAATGATCATGTACAATAGCAGTGGTCAAGAGGTCAAATAGCTCAGTCTACTCTTTTGAACATTTCAATGTTATATAGAAGAGTTCCTTCCTTTTCCTTTGTTATTTGTTCCTTTTCTGCTTCTAATCAGTCAAAAACCAAAACCCACTCATCATGGATTTCTAAATCTTCAGAGTGGTGGGCAGTGGATTTGCCGACCATGTTTAAACTACCATCATTAAAATAATTTATTTGCCAAATATTTTTCTTTCTTGAGAAAACAGAAATGGACATGACAAAATATTGTCAATTTGGTACGGCTGTCCAAGTCTGACCTAGCTAAGTAGAGGTCAAAGAATGTTTATGGAGCTTTCGGAATTATGCTAGCCTAGGTCACTTTTTGGGCCCATACAATAAATATCGTGTCTTTTAGTTTTGGCATTTCTAAAAGCCTTGCATGTGTTGAACAAATGGTATGCATTCTTCTCTGGGTGTTTTACGGCAGTCATAGGAGTCTCGGGAACTGGATGGAGCCCAATTAAGAAGACTTTTGCAGCAATGGGTATCTTGGTTCCCTGTACTGATGGCCACCCATAGCAAGAAGAGCACACACACATCAGAAAAACTTTTCATAAACTGACACTATTAGTTTTTATACCTTAAAATATTAGTTCAGGCACATGTGGTTACTTATACATCATTGGGAAACTTGAATTAGTATTTAATGAAGAGGTACAGTGCAAAGATTATAATTAGAGATGAGCGAAGAAATGAAAAATTCGATTCGACTGATTCGGCGAATTCGTGGACAATATTCGATTCGAGTCGAATAAATTCGCTGTGAATTTAACTTAAAAAAGGGTGTTTCTAGGCTTCAGAGAGACTTAAATATTAGTGCAGAACACTGTACCTTTAATTTAAATGCCCTTGGAGTCTGCTGGGGAAGAGACACACTTCACTCATTTGGGCAGTCACGGGGCCAAAAACCAGAGTGTGGAGCCACAGTGTGGCGGTGGAGGCAGCAGCAATGGGAGGCCATACAGCACCCTATGACAAAAATGGAAACCACCAGCAGTGTGAGGAGACCTGAAAGTGGCACATGGCAGAGTGTGGCGATAGAGACAGCAGCAATGGGAGGCCGTACAGGGACCCATGACACACTCTGGACCTGGCAGCAGCAGGAGGCGGGCGGTACAGGGGCCCATGACAGATTACGGGCCTGGCAGCAGCATGAGGAGTCGGTACAGGGGGCCCATGGCAGATTACGGGCCTGGCAGCAGCAATGGGAGGCCGTACAGGGACCCATGACACACTCTGGACCTGGCAGCAGCATGGGGAGGCGGTACAGGGGCCCATGACAGATTACGGGCCTGGCAGCAGCATGAGGAGTCGGTACGGGGGCCCATGACACACTCTGGACCTGGCAGCAGCATGAGGAGGCGGGTACAGGGGTACAGGGGCGCATGACAGATTACGAGCCTGGCAGCAGCAACTTGGACAGGAGGACGTTCAGCTTCTGCACCGTCGGGTGCGTGCTCGCAAAACTGTTGTCTCTTGGAAACGGATTCCAAGAAAGACTGCTGACGGAATCCGTGAAGAGGAGTAGCAGGAGAAGGGAGCATCTGAACGAGCGGAATATGCCAACAAGCGACAACAGTGGGCCCATGACAGATTACGGGCCTGGCAGCAGCATGAGGAGTCGGTACGGGGGCCCATGGCAGATTACGGGCCTGGCAGCAGCTATGGGAGGCCCGTAATCTGCCAGCACCCTATGACAAAAAAATGGAACCCACCAGCAGTGTGAGGAGACCTGAAAGTGGCACATGGCAGAGTGTGGCGATGGAGACAGCAGCAATGGGAGGCCGTACAGGGACCCATGAGAGACTGGACCTGGCAGCAGCATGAGGAGGCGGTATAGGGGCCCATGGCAGATTAGGGGCCTGGCAGCAGCTATGGGAGGCCCGTAATCTGCCAGCACCCTATGACAAAAAAAATGGAACACACACCAGCAGTGTGAGGAGACCTGAAAGTGGCACATGGCAGAGTGTGGCGATGGAGGCAGCAGCAATGGGAGGCCGTTAACAGGGACCCATGAGAGACTCTGGACTTGGCAGCAGCATGAGGAGGCGGTATAGGGGCCCATGGCAGATTAGGGGCCTGGCAGCAGCTATGGGAGGCCCGTAATCTGCCAGCACCCTATGACAAAAAATGGAACACACCAGCAGTGTGAGGAGACCTGAAAGTGGCACATGTTTGGGGCATGATTCATGGCGGATTTAGTCAGTTGTGTCAGGGACTGGTGGTTTGAAATCCAGACTAATCCACGCCTGATTCATTTTCACAAACGTGAGTCTCTCCACACTTTGGGTGGACAGTCGTGTCCTCCGCGGAGTTGCAATACCTCCTGCCGCACTAAACACGCGCTCCGATGCCACGCTACTGGCCGGGCATGACAGCCTTTCAAGGGCAAATTCAGCTAGTTGGGGCCAAAGGTCAAGTTTCGTTGCCCAGTAGTCAAGGGGATTGTCTACCTCGGTTGGCAGGGTGCTGTCCAAGTAGGCCTAAGCCTGTTGTTTGAGGTCCTGCTCCAGGTCACCTGATGCTGCTGCTGCTGCTGCGCTGGTTAGTAGTAGTTTCCTCACTGCGCTGGTGAAGAAAGCTACTCATCATCGACTGCAGACTGAGGCAGCCGCTGCTGGTGGAGCTGCCACTGCTCCTACCACCCCACCCCTCCCCTGCTGCCATGGCAGCGGAACACGAGCGCACAGGGCCCACAGTGTCTGAGGATGGGACGTTGGCGCAGACAGGCAGAGACCAGCTGACTACATAGGTGTTTTTTATAGTACGTTATTTTGGCCTCCCTCTCAGCAGGTGTGAAAAAGGCCACCATTTTTGAACGGTAGCGAGGGTCCAACAAGGTGGACAGCCAAAAGTCATCCCTCTGTCTGATGGTTATTATTCGGCTGTCGCTACGCAAGCAACCGAGCATGCTATGGGCCATTTGTGCCAAGGAATGCGAGGGACTCCCTGCCTCCATCTCCACAGCATACTGCCACGGTGCGTCTAGGTCCTCTGTCTCCTCTTCCTCCTCCTCCTCTACCAGATGCTCCTGCTCCTCCACTCCTGTCCGCTGAGTGGAAAAACCACCCATTTCACTCAATAATTCCTGAGCACCAATGTCCTCCTCTACCTCCTCCTCTTCTTCCAGTCCTGCCCCCACAGGGGCCATGTGGCGTTGAGATCTGTGCGCCACGTCTACCGCACCCTGACCAGCCATTGTTAACAGCATTTGTTCCAGGACGTGCAACAGAGGAATGACGTCGTTCATCCCATAGTCCTGCCGACTCACGAATAGCGTGGCCTCCTCAAAGGGCCTGAGCAAGCGCAGGTGTCACGCATGAGCTGCCAATGGCTGACATCTAAGTTACACAGGGAGTACCTTTATCTGCTTTTAACATCAGGAAATCTGTGATGGCCTTTTGCTGTTCGTAAAGGCGGTCTAACATATGTAGGGTTGAATTCCACCTTGTTGCAACGTCACAGCATGAGGAGTCGGTATAGGGGCCCATGGCAGATTAGGGGCCTGGCAGCAGTTATGGGAGGCCCATAATCTGCCAGCACCCTATGACAAAAAATGGAACACACCAGCAGTGTGAGGAGACCTGAAAGTGGCACATGGCAGAGTGTGGCGATGGAGACAGCAGCAATGGGAGGCCGTACAGGGACCCATGAGAGACTCTGGACCTGGCAGCAGCATGAGGAGGCGGTATATAGGGGGCCTACGGCAGATTAGGGGCCTGGCAGCAGCTATAGGAGGCCCGTAATCTGCCAGCACCCTATGTCAAAAAAATTCAACACACCAGCAGTGTGTGAGGAGACCTGAAAGTGGCACATGGCAGAGTGAGTGTGGCGATGGAGACAGCAGCAATGGGAGGCCGTACAGGGACCCATGACAGACTCTGGACTTGGCAGCAGCAGCATGAGGAGGCGGTATATAGGGGCCCATGGCAGATTAGGGGCCTGGCAGCAGCTATAGGAGGCCCGTAATCTGCCAGCACCCTATGTCAAAAAATTCAACACACCAGCAGTGTGAGGAGACCTGAAAGTGGCACATGGCAGAGTGTGGCGATGGAGACAGCAGCAATGGGAGGCCGTACAGGGACCCATGACAGACTCTGAACTTGGCAGCAGCATGAGGAGGCGGTATATAGGGGCCCATGGCAGATTAGGGGCCTGGGCAGCAGCTATAGGAGGCCCGTAATCTGCCAGCACCCTATGTCAAAAAATTCAACACACCAGCAGTGTGAAGAGACCTGAAAGTGGCACATGGCAGCAGAGTGTGGCGATGGAGACAGCAGCAATGGGAGGCCGTACAGGGACCCATGACAGACTCTGGACTTGGCAGCAGCATGAGGAGGCGGTATATAGGGGCCCATGGCAGATTAGGGGCCTGGCAGCAGCTATGTGAGGCCCGTAATCTGCCAGCACCCTATGTCAAAAAATTTAACACACCAGCAGTGTGAAGAGACCTGAAAGTGGCACATGGCAGCAGAGTGTGGCGATGGAGACAGCAGCAATGGGAGGCCGTACAGGGACCCATGACAGACTCTGGACTTGGCAGCAGCATGAGGAGGCGGTATATAGGGGCCCATGGCAGATTAGGGGCCTGGCAGCAGCTATGTGAGGCCCGTAATCTGCCTGCACCCTATGTCAAAAAATTTAACACACCAGCAGTGTGAAGAGACCTGAAAGTGGCACATGGCAGCAGAGTGTGGCGATGGAGACAGCAGCAATGGGAGGCCGTACAGGGACCCATGAGAGACTCTGGACTTGGCAGCAGCATGAGGAGGCGGTATATAGGGGCCCATGGCAGATTAGGGGCCTGGCAGCAGCTATGTGAGGCCCGTAATCTGCCTGCACCCTATGTCAAAAAATTTAACACACCAGCAGTGTGAAGAGACCTGAAAGTGGCACATGGCAGCAGAGTGTGGCGATGGAGACAGCAGCAATGGGAGGCCGTACAGGGACCCATGACAGACTCTGGACTTGGCAGCAGCATGAGGAGGCGGTATATAGGGGCCCATGGCAGATTAGGGGCCTGGCAGCAGCTATGTGAGGCCCGTAATCTGCCTGCACCCTATGTCAAAAAATTTAACACACCAGCAGTGTGAAGAGACCTGAAAGTGGCACATGGCAGCAGAGTGTGGCGATGGAGACAGCAGCAATGGGAGGCCGTACGGGACCCATGACAGACTCTGGACTTGGCAGCAGCATGAGGAGGAGGCGGTATATAGGGGCCCATGGCAGATTAGGGGCCTGGCAGCAGCTATGTGAGGCCCGTAATCTGCCTGCACCCTATGTCAAAAAATTTAACACACCCAGCAGTGTGAAGAGACCTGAAAGTGGCACATGGCAGCAGAGTGTGGCGATGGAGACAGCAGCAATGGGAGGC